CTGCAGTTAATTCTACTGAGATGGTAGGTCAAGTCCATCATTTCTGTTAGAAAATAATTTTCTAGCAAATAGGACCAAGGAAATAATTTCATTTGGTCAATGTTTTTCTTCTTGCACACTTAATCCTTTTCTTCCATTTTTCCCTTTTTAATGTTTTATATTTTTGAATAGGCAATACATGCACTAGGTATAAAATTCGAAGTATCCAAGATTGCTGATTCAGAGAGAAGTTACCTTCTCACTACACCCTCCCACCACTGAGTCCCTTACAGTTTCTAGTTTATGGTTTCTTCCAGAGCCGTTTTAGATACATAGAGGCAAATAAATATGCATTTGTCTGATGCTATTTTGTACCTTGCTTTTTAAACTTTGTAATCTTTCCACATAAGTACATAAAAAGCAGCCTCAGCTTATTAATGGATACATACTATTCAATCTTGAGAATATATCATTATTTTTAAATTAAATTTTTAATTTTAATGCCAGTATAGGGGCACCTGTGTGGCTCAGTTGTTAAGCCTCTGCCTTCGACTCAGGTCATGATCCCAGGGTCCCAGGATAGAGCTCCCCATCAGGATCCCTGCTCAGTGGGAAGCCTGCCTTTCCCTCTCCCACTCCCCCTGCGTGTGTTCCCTCTCTTGCTTTGTCTTTCTCTGTCAAATAAATAAATAAAATCTTTAAAAAAAATTCCAGTAAACATACAAGTTTATATTTGTTTCAGGTATGATTGTTTTTTTAAATAAGACACCTCTTGATTGACATGTAAGTTGTTACCAGTATTCTCTACCATCAGTGATGCTGCAATGTACAGGTAATTTTATACATGTGCTAGTCTATTTGTAGGAAAGATTTCTAGAAATGGAATTGTAGGATTAACAGGTAGTGACAAATTTTGGAAAAATGGTTTCATAAAGATTATGTCCATTTTCACTCCCAATAGAACATATGTGAATACATGTTTATTGGTATCTTGCCAATAATATTTCCTTTTTTAAAGATTTTATTTATTTATTTGAGAGAGAGAGAAAGCAGAAAGCAGGAGTGGGGAGGGAAGGAGAGAGAGAAGCAAACTCCCCTGCTGAGCAGGGAGCCTGATGCAGGACTTGACCCCAGGACCCTGGGGTCATGACCTGAACTAAAGGCAGATGCTTAAGGGGAGCCACCCAGGCACCCCTTGCCAATAGTATTTTATTTCCTGGTTCTAAAATGAATAAAGGAAACCCTTTAAGTAAGTGTAGATTCATCTAATGGTCTAACCCAGGAACAAGAATTTTTTTTTTGCAGAAAGTCAACACAGATGATTGCTCTATGGAATCTCTTCTCTCCAGGCAGGTTGGCACTGTGGCATTCATTGTGGGTCTAACCCCAGTGCTGTTTTAAACCCTAGAAGGCTTTGCCAGTCTCCAGAATCATTTCTCTCCTGCTATAGAGTGGAAGACATCCTGTTCATTCTACAGATACTTACTGAGCACCTACCATGCATGAGGCATTCTTTTAGTGGCTTAGGGTTAAACAATGAATAAAACAGACAAAAGTCCCTGTTGCCATTTAAGATTACATTATAATGGGAGGAGGCAGAAGGTAAGCACAATACACAGGTATGACACATGGTATGTTAATTTATAAATGCCTTGGGAAAAAGAGAGAAGGAGGGAATGGGGAGTATGAGGAGCCACTTTCGTGGAGGGTGGTTAGGTAAGGCCTCATTGAGGTGACATTTAAGCAAGTATCTGAAAGCAGTGAAAAAATGAGTAAGGTATCTGAAGGAAAGAACAAAATAAGCTGGTAGTATGTCTGGTATGTCCTAGAACAGCAAGTTAGACTGCTGTTTAGAGCTTAGTGAGCAAGTGGAAGAGGAAGAAGTGAGGTCAGGGAGGTCAGGGGATTTGAGTAGCAGGTCAGATGGTATAGGTCCTTACAGTGAAATAGGAAAACCATGGAAAGTTCTAGAGGGTTGTTCTGAATGCTCTACTGAGAAAAAACTGAGGGAGGGCAAGAATGGAAGAAGGGAAAACCAGTTAGGAGACTTTCTGTAAACGAGGTGAGAAAGGAGATGGGTCACCCTCGGCTGGTAGCCATGGAGGTGTGGAAATATTTGGACTATGGGTCTGTTTTGAAGGAACGGCTGGCACCATTTGGTTAGATTGGACATTGGAAGTGAGAAGAAAAGGAAGCAAGAATGACTCCAAGGTTCTTGGCTTAAAGAAGTAGAGGATGGAGTTGTCATTTACTGGATGGGGGAAGGAATGCAGGCAGATCATGTTTTAGGGTGAAGATGAGTTGCGATTTGGTTTGTGATTACCATGGCTTTCTGTGGCTGGGGTTCTCAGATGGCCAGGGTTCCAAGTTAAATTAATGGCCCGGACTAGACTATGACTGACATGTCTTCTTGGGATGAAGACTCTAAGGAATACTGCCCATGGGCATTGTCCTCCTGAGCTATCCCCTTCCAAAGCAGATTTGCAGTGAGCTATTGTTATTAAATGTCCTTACATCTTTTTTTCCTCTGTGAAATATTTAATCAAAGGGATAGGAAAATGCACACACACACACACATCAACACACATAACTAAAAACGTTGAAAACGACTCGAAAACCTGATTTCCTGTCCGCTTCATATCCAGTAGAACATGAGCTTCTATTAGAGGACTCACTGTCCTCCAAAAATCAAAATTCAATTCAATTCCACATTTGTGGGTCTGTGATATTACCAAGCCCCCAGCTCCTAGGAAATGCCAGGCTGGGCTGGTAAAGAAACCACACCAGGGCAATCTGAAATGTGCCTGATTGAAGACTGTAACCAGGAATTCACTGGACAAATAAATAATTCAAAAGAAGGATACACTTAAAACAGTTGTAGCTTAAAGTATCTGATGAAACAATACCTAAAATGGAATGAATATTTCAGCAAACACATGGAAAGTGAAGGGAAAAAAGCCAGTATTTTAACTCTTATTAGCGGCAGGAAAGGAAAACAAAACACAAGAACAGAAACTCATATATAGGAATTATTTCAAAAGGCTAGGAAGAGATTAGGGGAAATAAATTTTTAAACTGTGCCCTTGAAGGGGGGGCGGAATCTATACGTGGTTACAATGCATGAGCGCAGAGAGCTGTATTTTTTATCTATTCCACTCGCGACGCCAGCGGGTAGATCAGAAAGAAAACCAAATGCTAGAAGAGAGAGAGTAGCTAAGGAAATCCGAACTTGTTTCAAACCAAGTTAAAGTGGTGGCCAGACTAGGTGACTCAGAGGCATGACTCAAACCCGACACTGGGGGCCGTCAGCTCCCGGAGGCCGGGGGCGCGGCGTCAAACACATTTTAGGAAAGTACCAGGCTCGAGGAAGGCGACAGGAAACCTCCCCAGGGGCTCGGCCTGGGGCTCCTCCTGCCCTACAGTCTGACCTCTTACCATCTGCACCAAGAGGAGTTTCTCATCTCCTGGCTTCCCCTTCTTTTTTTTACAGCCCGCCCATCCCGCCACCCATTTTTCTCCCACAAAGTGTCACGCGGCGTGTGTGTGCAAGACGTCTTGCCCCCTTCCAGTGGCCCTCCGCCTAGAGCTCTCCGCCACGCGCCCACCCGCCCCGCCTCCGCGGCTAGTCCCTCCCTTCCCACCCCGCCTGCCGCCCGCCGCCCGCCCCCAGCCGCCCGGGCACGCGCGGCACGAACAGCTCCGAGAGCTGCACTAGACAAACACCTGTCCCGCCTGGGCTCCGCGAGATTTGGGGGCGAAAGCATAGGGAACAGTGGGCGCGTTCTCGCGATGTTTAGGAAATTTCCCACGGCCCGTGTTGTGTCTGAGTTGAGTAGTGGAAGGCGGTGGGAAGGAGGTGTAGCGTGAGACTGACTGGGCTGCCCGCATTGTGCACATGCGCAGTGTCGCTCGCGTGTGCCGCGCCAATCCTGCGGCGCCTTCAGCAGGTCTCCGGCAGATAATTCCAGTTCTCCGGGTTTTGGGGCTCCCTACTGGAGGCAGTGCTCGATCTGGGAATCTCTAGGAATTGAAAGGGCAAGACTAGCTGGGGTGGCAAGGGTGGAGAAAGGGATGTGGCAGGTAGGAAGGAGGGGTCAGGATTCGGGCCCTTCTCCTTTCTATTAAATGCCCAGACGGACCAAGTTGGCTCCGGGGTTTCCAGGCTTAGGTTGCCTGAAGTGCGTTTCCGGCGGCGACCAGCGTCCTCGACTGTGTCAGGCCCACGGAAGGACCCGGGCAGTGTCTGTCCCCATTCCACCTGCGTTCACACACGGCTGGGGACGGCGGTGAGGTGCTAAGGAGGCTCACACAGCAGGCAGCTCTCTGCCCCAGGGGCACCCGTGGTTTGAGTGCGGGTGCGGGCCCAATTCCAATGCAGATTTCACCTCTAGAGAAAACTACGCGGCGCTCTGGCAATGCATATACGAAGTGGACATTATGGGTGTCTTTGCCAGAGGCCTTGGCTTGACCTCATTTCACACTCAAGGAGAAGAAATCTAAGTCCACAGAGCTCAACTGCAAAAGTTTTCCATTTACAGAGCTCTGACAGGTCAGCCCACGCTGTCATCTTGTCTGTGCGCAAGCATGAGGGTTCGAATAGAGCGAAGACAGTTCTAGGTTTGTCAGTCGCCAACTCCAGGCATCTCTGTAGCTCTGGCATCTAAAGCCGACATTAGCATAAGGGAGGTGTCCAATGAACGTCTGAATGAATGAAGAGGGCTGGGAACCAGAGTGAGCGGGAAGCCACTTGGAAAACACCCATTTGAGGAGGTGTTTCATCTAGGCCTGTGAAACGCGGCAGATTTTCCCAGGACCCCTCCTCCCTTCCCCTCGGCCCCGCCTCCTGACCCCTCCATTCCCCGTCCCCGTTGTAATCCCCTCCGGTTTTCCTCAGTCTCCACGTACATCCCTCAGGGCGCGTCCCAAAACCCGGATAACCGGAGCACTCCCCATGGACCACACTGAGGGCTCGCCCGCGGAGGAGCCGCCTGCGCATGCTCCATCGCTTGGGTAGGTTTCCAGGGAAGGCAGCGAGCAGGATCCCTTACTCCGCGGGCGGCGCGAGGCGTCTGGCTCTTCGCGGCGGCTGCGAGGGGAAAAGAAGCGCGGGGGCCGGGTGGAATCGAGGAGTGAGGAAAAAGGGAAGGGGCGGGGGAGAGGGACCAGGGAAGGCGTCAAGGGGAATCTCGCGAGGGTTGGAGTTTTGGCGAGAGTTTGTGGAAGATGGCGCCTGTTGTGACAGGGTAAGTCTGGGGGAATCGGAGCGCTGGGAATCGGGAAAGTTGCGGGCGTCTCGCAGCCCGCGGCGGGCGGCGTGTTCGGGGCAGCGGCGCGCTTGGCGTCCGGGGCCGCGGGGGCGGCGTCGCGTGCGTCGAGCGCGGCGGCGGCGTGTGGCCGTGCGCTGCTCGCTCTGCGCCGCCGTGGCTCGGGCTCCGGCGCGTGAGGGCGGGCGGCGGCGGCAGCGACGCCGGCGGGTGCGGGCGTGAGTGCGGCCGGGCGCGCGGGGCCCGCGGGCGCCGTGCGGGTCGCGCGCTTCTTGCACCTACGCCCGCCTCTAGCGTCTCCGTCAGCGGGCCCGTATTCCGGCCCCGCGCAGCTTTGTTCCTCCGGGCGGTCGTCGCCTCCTCGCCGGGCCGGTGTCCCCGGCCCCGGGCGCTTTGTCTTCCCCGCTGCCCCCCGCGACTCTCTACCCCCGGCCCTTTGTTTCACCGCCTTGGGCGCTTTGTCCGACCCGGCGCGCCCCGCATCGCTTTTCCATCTCCTCCCCTAAGCTGTCCTTCCTCCCGTGCCCCTTTGTTGTGCCCTTCGCTATTCGGTAGCTCAGTGACCTGCCACAGCCCAGGCACCAGATTTCTGTCTTTTAATTTTTCTTCCATTATTTTTCTCACGTGTTTTCCTCTCACCTTTCGATTTGGTACTTGATCACTCCCGGAGTCTTTGTCTCCCCCATTCAGTGGCTTTTTCACTTGGCACCCCCTTCCCCTCCCATCATCGGTTGATTTATCCACTACCCACGGAGTATGTCGGCTGAACTGTCTCAGCCTCAGGGACTCCATCTGGTGCTTCTGCGCGCAGACAGACCCTACGGTTTGTTGTTGTTTTTTGTGGGTCTTAAAGAGGCGTGGAGATAGTTTCCTCCTCGGCGTTCCGCACCCTTTTCTCTCGGGATTATGTGTACACACGCACACACACCTTTCTCTCGGGATTACAATGTCTCTAGTTTTCTTCGCGATCTCTTTGGGCGCATGGTTGTTTTGCTTGGAAACAGTAGCCCTGGAAAAAGATCTAGTCTTTTGGTTATTGCTCTTCCACCCCCGCCCCCTTTGCCCTTAGGCCGTTTCTGATGGCCTAGGCCAAGGGCAGCTGTCGTAGATTTGCTTCTGGGTTACCTGAGGGTGTAGTAGGAAGGTTAAAAGAGGTGCGAGGTTTGTTTTTGTTTTTGTTTTGTGTTGGTGTGTGAGACTAGTTTCACATATCCACGTTAGCTATTCATTAGGTACGTGAATAGTAGTAGCGTCAAGTTTGATGTTAAAAACTTCTGAATATTCGTGCGGAAAATTTCAGCATTTTCTAGACTATAGGTCTAAAGTTAGTTATTTTACCATTAACTTTTGCTCCCTAAGGAAAAGGGAGGCATCCTTTTTCGGAGTTTGATATAAATGTTTTACTTTTTCTTCATCATTAGCTTATAATTATCTGCTTTTGCTGTGTAGAACGTGACAACCCTTCTGTCCCGTCTTTGGAGTTGAAATGAGGAACACGCTTAAGAGTGCAGTTTCTGGTTGATAAATACTGCTTCTAGAATCTTTGTGGAATGCATTAATCAAATGCAATTAAAAGACATTTAAGTAGTAGTCTTAAGTAAGGTGAAGTCACTTCTAATGTTAAAGGAGCTTTAAATTGTTCACAGTGCTTATTGTTATGGTAATGTAAAAACTGGGAGTTGTGTGCGTGGGGGAAGGGTGGTGTGGTGTATTTAAATAGCCTGAATATTCTGGTGCTGGGGGTTAAGAAGTATTCAATTTACCAGGATTACTGGATTGAATATATTGTTCAAAAATTGCCCCCCCCTTACTAGTAGATCACTCATTTTAGAAGTTGTGTTAACAAAATCATTTGGAGTGTCATTTCCTTTATAAACTAAAGTCCCACATAAAGTGCTCCTAGTAGAGGATGTACAAGATTTAGTGTGAGGAATGTTGTTAAACATTTTTTTTTTTTTTGAAGGCTGCGATTAGAATTAGTAGTTTAAATTTTATTTAATGGAAAATCTTGTTTCCTAATTGATACGTGAGGGTTTTGTGAAAATTTGCAGTCTGGGTTCCATGAGTGGATTTTACCTGTAATCATTTGTCTCCTGTACTTTTTCTTTGTGCATAATCATTCTTTTGAAGGTAAAATCTTGACTACACTTCTGACTCTGAACAAAAATGTAAATATAGTGTAATGGAAGGTATTTTGTTCCGACTTGTACATATAGGAATGATCACACAAAAATCATAAAAGCAACTTTTACAAACTGAGTTGTGTGGGTTTTTTTGTTTCTAAATTGAAGTAAGACCTTTATTTTGTGATCATATGAAACAACGCTTTTACTAAATTATATCAAACAGCAGCATATTTAGAACATACCGGGTCAGTTGTGGTTGGGACACTTTCGTTCTGATTAGTGACTATTAAAGCTTTAAATTTATTGTCCAGGTATATTGCAAATGGGTCTGCATGGTGTTCTCAGGAAAAAAAGATAAGATGCTTACTTGTAGTATTTTCAGATCTGTTCTAATACATGCTTCTATGTATTAGATTATTTAAATTAGGTTATTAAAAAGTTACCTCTTGTCCGATAACAACAGATTTCTATCCTTAAAAGGGTAAGATAAAAAATGGTTTGGGAGAAAGCCACTCTTGCCAGCTGTACATTAAATAATCTTTGGCACTCTGGATGGATAAGGTATTAGGGAAAAAGTGGTGCGTTTGAAAGTTTTTACTAATCTTAATTCTAGGATTGGGTCATTTTAAAAAATAAAGTTTAAAAACCTATGATGTGGCTTTAAAACATTTTTTTGCTTCCTCCTAATACTAAATTTCATGTTATTTCAACTAGGGGCAGTATTTTCTCATGGATTGACTAAAAGTTGTTATTCTTGGCATCTGGCTTTATGATTATTTCCAAGTTACTCTACTTCCCCTGGGCCAATTTCCTAACTATGTAGTAAAATGGGAATTGTAATAACTTGCCACATCTGCACAGGATTGCTGTGCCTCAGGATTTGCAGAGAGCATCCTTGGATGAAAGGTGTGGTTAAAGTCTAGGAATTGTTACTGAAATAAGCTGATGTGAAGTAGGTCATATTTTATAGGAAGTCAAGTAGGAGGTTATAAACGAAGTTCTTGGCAAGTTACAGTGGTGATAGTGGGATGAAAAAAATAAAAATATGTATTATAGTTTGGGTAATAAAACCAGTATTTTTTCCCCTATAAGTTTAGAGGGAGAGGGATTAGTAAAACAAATTACAGGGTGGTGTATTTGTTGTATAAGAAATTGAAAATCTGTCAGACTCATATGTAATAACACATTGTAAAATTATGGGATGCTTTCCCTCTATTGATCTGTTTTCTGCATATGGTGGTTTTTTTTTTTTTTTAAGATTTTATTTATTTATTTGACAGAGAGAGATCCCAAGTAGGCAGAGAGGCAGGCAGAGAGAGAGAGGAAGGGAAGCAGGCTCCCTGCTGAGCAGAGAGCCCAATGTGGGGCTCAATCCCAGGACCCTGAGATCATGACCTGAGCCGAAGGCAGAGGCTTTAACCCACTGAGTCACCCAGGTGCCCAGTGATTTTTTTTAAGTTTTTATTTTATGCATATGGGTAGTATGTTTTTTAAAAATGGTGGCACAAAATGTTTTCATTAGCCTCTAGGCCAGATCTGTAAATAGTAATGACTATTTCAGTATCCCTTATAGTTTTTAATGCTTTGTTACTTGCTCTAAAGAATATTTTCTAACAGCCAAGGCCATGATTTCAGGGTTGGCCCTTGATCTAGGAAAGTGTTTTACATTTAGGAGATGCTCCTAAGATACTCACTTAACAAACAAAACCTGTTGCTTCTGTTCTTGGTAGATGGTACAACATCCCAACTAAGTTTCCCAAGCGAAGTTTCTGGATTCCTCTCTTACACTAACGCTTCACATTTAGACACTAAGAACTGAAAATTTTCCCTCCTGAAAATCTCTTGTATCAGTGTCATTCATCCCTACTGCTACAATTCATGTTCTCATCATTTCTCATATGAATTAGTATAAACATTGGTAGCTTCCTTTTTCTGTTTGTAGACTCACCTCCTTTATCCAGATTCCACAGTCTAAAGAGCATATCTGATCACTTTACTTCTTAGTTTAAAAACCTTTCAATGGCTCCCCCTAGCAGCCTTCATTAAAGAGGCAGTGGAGTAGAGAGTATGAGCTCATATTTAGCATTTAATCCGGACTGGGTTCCAATTCTGTCCCTGCCATTTAAAACCTCTTAACACTGACAAGTGATCTGACTTCTCTTTGCTTTTTTCCATCAGTTGCAAGATAATTACTCTTAGCTCAGTGGGTTTTGGTGAGGATTGACTGTGAGAAAACATTTAATAGGATACCTGAAGACATAGCAGGTGCTCAAATAATGTTAGCTAGTTAGGCATATATGGTTCTCTTTAACTATTTCATTTACTTTTTCTCTAGCTGAACTGTATGCCTTTCTTTCCTCTAATATTCAGTGCTCTGGCTATATTTAAGAATCTGTAGTTCCCTGGGTGGGTTTAGCAGTTTAATGCCTTCCAGTACATAAAAAGTGCTGGTATTAGTGGGTTATTAATTCAAGACTTAGGTCTGGGGATATTCTGACGGGATCTACCAGCCTGGATTCAGTACCCCTGTAGTGTGTTCTTAAAGGACTTAGGAAAATTCTCTTGGAAGTGTCATACTGAGTTGTTATTGTCTGTCACGTTCAGAGGCTGTTCGTTAGTTTCCTGGTGGCAGATACCTTTTTTTTTAAAATGATCATTTATATGTTCTTATACTCAAAAGAGTGTCCAATACATGATAGGGACTCAGTAAAAAGTTTTTTTGAACAAATGACTCAAGAATACTTCGAAACCTTGGTGCAACCTGGTGCCTGTAGTCAGAATTTGATGTGCATAGGGGATGTATTGATTCTCCAGGAAATTTAATTGCTGAGGTACCCAAAAGAATTGATATTT